TGATAGTCTGCACAGATTTATGGAATGTTAGGATTTCTTGATCATAGAAGGACCATCAAATGCTGGATTTTACCATTTTACCAGCTTTGCTCAGAAGTGTAGGTCAGAAAGGAGGAGCCAACTGAGTGAGTAAGCAAGTTCAGAGCCCCTTCTTCCCTGCCCTTCAGCAAGACCACCCCTGCATGTACCTGCTTTGGGTGTGGGGCTTCTGCATAAGATTTCTGCAACCTACAAGCAATCCTGAAATCCAGTAATCAAATCCATGCACTCATTCATTTTTCAGATGAGGAAAGGAGCCCAATGAGGGGCTTTCTCTTACCACAGGGTCACTCGAGTTTGTAAATTCATTCCAGAATGAGAATTAGCACACAGGTCTCTTCTGTATATGCCCCATTTGTTTCGCCTTTCTGGGATAATTCTGGAACCCATCACTGGGCTGCTTTTTCCCATTGCCTGGCCACTGTCATGTGGAAAAGGCCTTATCAGGAGGATCTAAAGGAACAGAAAACATCCCAGAAAAGCCATAATAACATCTTTGAAGTCACACTGCATTTTTACTAAGAGCCACTTCAATCACACAATATCATGGCACTGGCTGAAGTTGTACAGTGCTCACCCTAAGAGACTGAATGGAGCAGCCCTGTTTTAACTTTACAAGTGTCAGAGCCAAAACCAAAATTGGGCTGGGAGGTTTTAGTTTAGCGCCATGCAAGGGAAAAACAGAGGATTTGGAGCCTGCAGATCCGGGTTTGAATCTGCATTCCACCACTTCCCAATCCTGGGACTATTAACAAGTTACTTGATATCACTGATCTTCAGCCTTTTTGTCTAAAAATAGAGCTGGCAGTACTCAAGGACTGTTAATAATAATTCAAGGATTGTTATGAGGAATTAATATTACAGTCTATGTAAAACCTCCATGTAAAGCATGTCAGAGACTTGGTAAATGTTCCTTTTCTTATAATTTAAGTTCTGTCTCAGAGTCTAATACACGTACATACAGGTCTGAGTCAAAATAAATGCCAGCTATTTTTTAAAGTTTAGCCTTAACTTGGAAACTTCTGGATTTTGTCACAAGCTTAACATTAAAATGTATATTAACATGAAATTTGGGGTATTTATAGACTATGGGCTTGTCTCACTCTTTTGCAAAGCACTTATAAAATGGAGCACTTCCTGGGGGGAACAGGGCTATAGGTTTCCCAAGAAGACTCTGTGACAGAAACTTAGAGACACTGAAAAATAAAGTCTTGTTCCTCTGACGCTGGAAGCCCTTGAGATGACCTGGGGGTCCAGAGGCTGGCTGCCCTCAGACAGACTCTGGCAGCGAAATCAGAGCCCCTCCTTGTACCAACTACTTGGGTGTGCTTGGGACTTTTTCAAGCCTTCTTCATTTGCCATTCAGACAGGAACCATAGGCCCAGAAGCTTGTTTTCAAAATCTAGGAAAACAGATGTTTTTGTTTATTTTTCTCTCCCTCATGCCAAAATGCTCACTGCGTTTTCACTGGGTTCTGAAGTTGCCTTTTTTTTTTTTAAAGACAAATCTTGGGAAAGGGTCATTGTAAAATGAAGGGAAAGAATGGGCATTTCAGCTCTATTTCAGCCTCTGATGAAAATGCTTAAGAACCTGAAGACAGGAGGTCCAGAAGACAAATGTAAGCAGGATTGAGCAGTTGAGCCCTGAAAGGGTCCACGTGCCACTTCCCTCAGGCCTGGTGCCTCCCCAGCAGCCTGGGATAAGAAAGCCAGCACTTCCTAATCCTCCAAAGAAACCAAAAGCATAGCATCTAGCTGAGCTATAAGGCAGTGAGGCTGTAAAGGGCTGTGTTGATTTATTTTTAAGCTTATTTATTTATTTATTTATTTTGAGAGAGAGAGAGAGAGAGCAGGGGAGGAGCAGAGAGAGAGGAAGAGAGACTCCCAAACAGGCTCTGCATTGTCAGCTCAGAGCCCGATGCCAGGCTCAAACCCACAAACCATGAGATCATGATCGAAGACAAAATTAAGGTTCAGATGCTTAATAGACTGGTTCAGGGCTGTGTTGATTGAACAGGTGCTGTGCTCTAGGTGAGGCTCAGTGCCAGTTACAGGTCCTGATGTTTATAGCCAGCTCAGATATTTTAGGTACTATATTAATTTCCTATTTGCTGCTGTAACAAATTATGGCAAGTTTAGTGACTTACAACAGCACCTGTTGGTCAGAAGTCTGACATGGGTTTCACTAGGCTAAAATCCAGATGTCAGCAGGACAGTGTCTTTTCCAGGAGTTCTGTGGGAGAATTCTTTTTCTCTCTTTACCTTGTCCAGTTTCCGGAGGCTGCCCACATCCCCTGGCTTGTGTTGTTCCTCCTTCATATCCAAAGCCAGCAACAGCAGGTTGAGTCCTTCTTAGGTTACATCACTCAGTTCTTCTCTTCAGCCTCCCTTCTCTGCTTTTGGCAACCCATGTGATTATATCAGGCCCCCCTAGATAATCCAGGCTCATCTTCCTATTTTAAGGTCAGCTGATTACCTCCTGAACTCCATCAGCATCCTTAATTCCCCTTTTCCATGCAAAGTAATATATTCACAGGTTCCAGGGATCAGGACATGGACATCTTTGGGGTCAGTGTGAGGATAGGAGCAGACAGTGTTGCCTGCAATAAGTACATAGGTCATTTTTACAATAAATACAATAATTTTTCAAATGAGGACTCTTTCGGTTGCAGAAACTGAACATAACTCAAGTTAATAAAAAGGAAAATATTTTATTAGCTTATATACTTGAAAGGAAAAAATAGGATGGCTTCAGGCACAGCTGGATCCATATGTCCCACAAGTTCATCAGGGTACTCTTGTTTCTTTGCTTGGCGTGTGTGTGTGTGTGTGTGTGTGTGTGTCTGTGTGTGATTTGATTTGATTCTCAAACGCAGGCTGTCTGCATGGTGGCTAAGACAAAGCTCCCAGGCAATTCCAAGCCTATACGGTTCTCAAGACCCAGGATCCTGGAGAGGATCCCATGACCTCTTTTTAGGGAGTACCAGCAAAAGCCTGAGGATCACTCCCAGCTTGGGTCATATGTGCATCCCTAGACTAGTCACTGGTCAGGGAGATCTTGTAACAGGGATGAGTTGGCCTTAGCAGAGCACATGAACTAAGTGGCAGAGGGAGAGGGTCTCCAAAATAATTCAGACACTATTACCAAAAGAAAGGTGAAAGAGCTGGGCAGGCAAAAACCACTGGTGTCCACTCCACCATCTCATTGCTGGATTTTACAACCAAGTACTTGATTCTATGTTCAGAGCTCATTTGGCTTCAGGTAACAAGACACCAAACTTAAAGAGTATAGAAGAGGTTCACCCAGGGCAAGTAGGAAGTTAGTTCAAGTCTATGGAAGAGGAGGAATTGTGTGGTGGTTAAGAGTATGGGTTTTGGAAACAGATTGTTTGGATTCATAGCCACTTTACTGGTTGTGTTTACTTGTCCTCTCTGTGCCTCAGGTTCCTCATCTGTAAAATAGATTTAGTTATAGTAGCTACCTCCTGAGTTTGTTGTGAAATTTAAGTGTGTTAATGCAGTAAAGCGTTTAGAATAGTGCCTTGACAGAGAGTAAGCCCTCAATAATTAATAGCTTTAAAAGGTATTATTGTTACTATAAGTAAATCCCTGAAGATGGCTTAGGAACTTGGAAAATAGTTATAAGAACCAAGCCAGATACTTTCTTGGTTTCTCTTTTTCTAACTGGGGTCACACAATCTCTTACCTCTGGAACTTTCTTTCAAGCATCTTAGTGAGAACTGAGGTTCTCCCTTGTAAGGCGGATTTTCACATGGTTTTCGGTTGCCCTCCCTTCACTCTGTCCTTGCCTGTACATGCCCACCACCAAATGAATGCTGGATTAGTGTTTCTGAGTTCCAAGTCTTGAGAGAATCTGCTAGTCTGGCACATGAGCGGCTTTAAGTAAGAGAGCACCTCATTTGATTCACTGTGACTGACCAGGTTACCTTGGACACAGGATCACCTCAGTAGGCATGGAAGGGGCAGCTTAAGTTGAAGAGGAAAGTCGAGCTTAGCCAGAAAATTGACCAACTTGTCTTTTACATGTATGTGCTAGCAAGTAGGAGTTTTCCTGCAGAATGGGAGTCAGTTTCAAAAAAATAAAAGTTATATCTATCTAAATGTTTAGGAGTTAGGACAGTACTAGGAACTGCTTTGTTCTGGTGTGATTTAGCCAGTGGTATTTGCAGAGAAAAATTGGTTATTCTTTTATTATAAATGGCAGAGGCATGTTCAGCTCCAGTTAGAGGTGCTCTGATTGAGGACATAACTCCCATTCATTTCTGCATGAAGAATCAGCCTCAGAAATTCATTCCTGAGAGGGTGGACTTCTTACCTTCCCTGTCAGGAGAGTGGATTCCAGTATGAACCTCAAATCTTCCTTTTGAGGACAGGAGGAAAAGGCCACATTTGCTCCTGGTTCCCTGGATCTCCTCTCACCAGTCAGAGCCTGGAATGTTTTTGGCTTTCTCAGTGCAGGATTTCAAACCATCTTCATGTATAGAAGTACATGCTCTGCCTTGTGAGCTCTTCTCCAAGGACTTTCGTCAGAATCCTTCCAGCGAAGCAGTTTCACAGTGATGGGGAGGAAAGGGTACTGATGGAATTTCTTACAGGAGAGGTAGATATGCTTTGGATCCAAGCTCGGCATCTTAGGAAGCATGGAGATTTGGGGGAGAGGACAAAGCATTGTTACGATTTTGATAGAGGTCGGCTGGGAAAAGTCTCCACTGTAAAGACTCTTGTGCCCCTTTCTGGTTGAACAATTCTCAGGCACCACACTTGCTTTCAAATGCCTTGGTTTTGAAGCAGTCAACAGAAAAGCATCCTGCTGCCAGGGCCAGTCATCAAAAAGAGAAAAGAGAGCAATGCAAACCATGGGGGAATGTGCGAGAGAGAAATATTGTAGAGCAGAAACGTGGCTCTGCTGGCCTATTACCATGTGCATTATCTCCCCCAAAGGACCCCGTGGTTTAATGGATGGGGCTTTAACCTGCCCAGAGGTCAGTCTCTGCTGGACAAGTGGAACCTCATCCCTGAGGGCATCGACATACTCATGACACACGGACCTCCTTTAGGTAAGTGAAGCAAAGGTTGTCTTTTTGTCATAATAGATGTCTTTTTCCCCAAGCACAATAAACAATGCTTCAGGGATATAATCATTTTCCTTCAGAAAATAAAAAAGTGAATACAAAAAGAAAAGCCCATGTCTTTAAAGAAACCAATATGATAATTAAACTCAGCAGTTCTGCTAGGCTTACAGGTGTTTTTGAAATTAAATTTTTTTTTTAATTTAGTTGAGTCAGGGAAAATCAAATCAGTATGGAGCACCACAGTCTTTGGAGCTCGATCATTTATTTTAAGAACTGTATTCACTTTGGAGTAAAGGAAGTGGAGAATTGGAGGGAAGGCACAGACATCCCAATCGTAGGGCTTTTGAATGGCAATGAAGTGATGGAAACTTTTGTTTAAAGTAGATTATTTTCCTTTCCCGTGTAATAGTGAGACCTGGGAAATCTTTAAAGTTAAACATTTGAGCTGATTGTATGAGCAAAGAATCCTTTTTTCTTTTTAACAAAAAAGCTAAGGTGTTAAGTAAGGACCTACATTGAAAGTTACTTAAAGATACTCATCCTACAGAATCCTTGAACCGACACCCAGGCTTAGATTGCCGGTGTGCTTCAAAGTTACTTTTAGTTACGCAGATTATGGGCCAGAAGATTATTTTGTGACTTCTATAATTCTCTTTTAATTATTCATGAACTTGTTATCTCCTTGTCTTAGACACAGAACATTTTCAAACAGGACTATCACCTTGATCCCCATCTGTCTGGTATCTATTATGCCAAGACCCTTCCTGTCCAACAAAAGTGTACTCTGGAAATTCAGATGCTCCACTTTCAGTAGGAGAGTGTTTTTTTTTTTAAGTTTTTTAATGTTTTTATTTATTTCTGAGAGGGAAAGACAGACAGACAGCGTGAGCAGGGGAGGATCAGAGAAAGAGGGAGAAACAGAATCTGAAGCAGGCTCCAGGCTCTGAGCTAGCTGTCAGCACAGAGCCCAACACGGGGCTCAAACCCACGAACCGTGAGATCGTGACCTGAGCCGAAGTCAGACGCTTAACCGACTGAGCCACCCAGGCGCCCCGGAGAGTTTTCTTTCTTCCTTTTTTTTTTTTGATTGTGATAAAAAACATGAAATCTAGACACTTAATAAATGTTCAAAAGCATAATGCTAACAAAGTTTGGTTTGGAGAAAGGAAGAAAGCACATACTACAAAATAAATTATTTTCACAGTATTTCCCTGTGGTTTGGGGTTGTGGCCCATATGACTTCCCTCCTCTGCCAACCTGAAAAATAAAAAAATCTAACACACATCCCCTACTGTGAATTTAGTCTTTGTAGATATTGTTTCCTCCAACCCTCTTAGGGCTGTTTTCCATCCCTTCCAAAGGAGGTGCTCTCTCTTTCACTTAGATAACAGAAGGGAGGGCCAAGGCCAGAGTCATGGTGACACATTTTAATGATACAGAGAATCAAGAGAAGGAGAGCCAGTTGTGTTGTAGACAGGGATACTGTCCCGATTTGGACAAGGTCTAGCAGTTCCTGACTTTTTTTGTTTTGTTTTGTTTTGTTTTGTTTTGTTTTATATTTTTATTTATTTCTAGGAGAGAGAGAGAGAGAGACAGCGTGAACAGGGGAGGGTTAGAGAGAGAGGGAGACACAGACTCTGAAATAGGCTCCAGGCTCCAAGCTGGCAGTCAGCACAGAGCCCGACGCGGGGCTCAAACCCACGAACCGCGAGATCATGACCTAAGCAAAAGTCAGACACTTCACCGACTAAGCCACCCAGGCGCCCCTCGTGACGTTTTCAATATTTCAGAGTCGCCATCCTCATCCCTTTTTTCCCCTCGTCAATCCCATCCCACCCCATGTTTTAAAAGATTATACTTCCAACAACATTTATCATCATAATTAATTAATCTCCCTATTTTGCAGCCATTAGAAACTAAATCCTGAATTGCTAGCTAAATACTCTAAACAGCCATGAGTTACCCATTGAGACCCTACAGAGATAGCATCCCAGCCAACTCAATCCTTTCTTTGAGCAGCCTCCTTGGGTGCAGACATGATTCCCCTCAGGCTGTTTATTGTAAACAGGACTTGGATATCCTCAGCACAGAAACCTTTACGTGACTGAAGTGTTATTTGGAATATAACTTTAAACAGAACAGTTGATTCACAGGCTCATCAAGCCATCAATGTTGGTACAGAAGCAAGCAGGGGTAGCCCTAAGTCTGCATTCTAGCCTCCACAGAATTCAGACACCCCAGAAACTTTGAATACTACATTACTTGTAGTAAACATGGAGTAATCCAGAGAGTGGCTGTGCATGTAGCAAAGTAAGTTCTACATCAAGGAGTTCCAAAATAAAAAGTCAGGTGAGGTTTTCATAAGGTAAAGTTGAACCTTAATCAAAGTACATTATTTGGATTCTTGTGAAAATGCTGGATTGGGATGGGGGATGGAGATGGGCCTTGAATTCTTTCCTGTTGAGAAGCCATCTCACCGTGGGACTTTGCTATCATGGTATAAGTAGGATGCCTTCTCAGGTTGATTGTATATGAAATGAGATAGTTTCTCCCTTCAAGGAAAATGCATCCATGATGGAATATGCCAATCACTGTGGATTAAGGTTTTTTTCCCTCTAATGAACATGGTTTTGAAACCTCTGGTTGAATTTTATAGGGCCCCCGTTTTCATCTGATATTCTTTCCAGATTCTCCAGCTACTCCCCACACTCTAGTTAACAGCTCTTTACAGAGATGCTCTGTCTTCATTTCTACAGTTCCCAACAAAGTGGAATAAGCTTATCTGTCCATTTCTGCCCGATCATTTCTAAATAGTAGAAATCACCTGACAGAACTATGGTATGGATTCCCACTGATTACGATTTAGCCGTTAGTTCCCACCCACCTTCTTTACACCCATCCTGCTGAGGCTAATGGGGTCTTTTTGAATATAATTATCCGGATACCTGACTTTTGCTATAATTGATACCAGTTTTTATGGATTTTCCACATTAAGCATAGACATAAGTGGCTTTTGCATTAAAGGTAGTCAGTTAGCCCAAGCTTACTGGATGCCACCACATGGTCACATTGCTGCCTATTTTTAGAGAGGAGACTGGAGGAGGAACTTGCCATTTCCAAGCTTTGGTCATCAAGAACCACCAAGGGTTAAGAATTGATGTACCTAAGGAGAACAAGGTATCTTGTGGCCAGTTCACAGACAGCCCCTACTAGCCTGTCTTTTTTGAGCCATCTTAGAGGTAAACTGCTTTAAAAAAGACGTAATTAAAAAAAAGAGAAAAGTAACTGAATTGAGAAAGAAAGAGATATTACGGGACTGCCGGGAATAAATGTCATTAGGCCCATGAAGATTTGAAACCGGGGCTGCATAAATCAAATCCCTTAAAGAAAGGGAAAAAAAATGTTAATTAACAGGAAGAAAAAAATGGAAACCAAAAAAAAATTTCAAGAACCTAAAGAAGACAAAGTGACAAGTGAAAAGTTCCTTAAAAGCCATTGTGAGCTTTAATGGAGAGGCTAGGATTACAGATAATGTAATAAACCTTCTGTGAGTTATGGCTTCCTGAAAGTCTAAATGAAACTTTACCTGAAGAAGGAAAATTAAGAGTATTGATTGCATTTTGCCCTTAGGTTTTCGAGACTGGGTTCCAAAGGAGCTTCAAAGAGTCGGCTGTGTGGAACTTTTAAACACAGTCCAGAGGCGAGTCCGGCCCAAGCTCCATGTATTTGGTGGAATTCATGAAGGTAAGACCAGCAAAAAGTCATTCACAGGTGTTGTATCATTATTCATGATCTCATTCCAGAATGGGGACCTTGGGTACACTAGAAATGCCTGGAGCAGTGTTGTCAAACTCTTTTTACCAGTGTCAGAAGCTTTTTGTAAGATCAATTGGTAGGAGAAACACCGGCATGTAAAGCTGATAAATATTTTATATGGAGCTTCTCTCTTTTAAGCAGAGTGGAGAGAAAGAACTAGGTCTGGTTCACCTTATGGAAAACCCAGCACCCGCCCCTACCCCCCAAGGCAACTTCTGGAATCTCAGGGCTCTGATGAGGAATGTTTGCTATCGACCACTATAGAACATCCCTGAGGTAAAAAAGGACTTTCTTTAAGACATTTAGAAGAAATGGCCTGGATATTAGACTAAACAACTTCCATGGCCTCTTTCTACCTATAAATATTGTGTTTCATATGGAATACATGCAAGACCCAGGAAGACAAGACGTTCTCTGAAAAATAACTTTGGACACTCAGTGAAACTTATAGAACAGAAATGGCAGGAACCTGCAGATTTGCAGGTAGTCATTTCCTTATGAACCTCCGAAAACCATTTCAGACTTCTCAGAAATCATCAGCTCTATTAGGTCAGGCTGAGGCTAAACGGAATAATTAAATCTCCCCTAAATGGGAACTGGTCCAGTTGCCTCTTTCTGCCTTTCAAGGTTCACAGAACCTAAAAGACTCTCAGGAAACTCTAGATTTTGTCTGTCCTTCCTTTTTTAAACTAGGGTCTTTAGACAGACACAAAGCTGTCTTTCAGCAGGCATTAGATTTTTCTTGCCCCACTGGTCTCTCCCAGTTTCATGGGTTTGTGTGCAGTGGTGCGTTTAGGTAGGCAGCTGCCATATTTTCTCCAAGTCCTGCTTACAGCTTGCACTCTGGAGTTCTTTATGAATCTGCAGATGAGTTGTTTAGGCCTACGTGTCTGATGAAGTAAGAAAACCAAGTTTGCTTTTCAAAGCCCACAAATCCATTGGCTTCCAGGTTAGGTGATGGAATTAGAGGCATACGTATTGAAAATCATCCTCCTAACGCCAGAGAAAATTCAGCTTGCCCCAAGTGCAGGCACCAGCTGCGTGCATAAAATACAGGGGTGCAGCTTCATAGGAGTGGACATCATCCTGCCCTGACTTGGAGCCGTAGTCTCTGAAAAGGAGGGCACCTCTCTGAGGCATGATACAGGATTGACGGGTGGAGAACGGATGGGAGCTCGTGTCTACACAGCATTTCTGGGGGACAGTTATCAGGCTTAAATTCCTACAGCATGCCTATGAGTTTGCATTTCATCTGGTTTTTTTAATCACTAATTAACTTTAAACTAGCCAGACAATTGGGGAATTCCACTGAAGCCCCAAAATAATAAACTTGCTTAAAAGGGAGGAGATCATATTCAAATAAACTTGTCTCACTTTTATTCACTTAAGACAGCTGAAGAGGGCAGAGAGAGGGCAAATACCAACCTCTTGATGGAGAGAGATAACAAGACTTTATGACCCCAGAACTAAACAGTGCACATTTTAAATGCCTCTTTTCTTTTCTTAAGAGATTTTTCCATTGACCCTCATTAAGCTCTCCACAGGCTTACTTGGAGAAATTTTAGCAAATGGAAAGAAAAAAGAAAAACCTCAGTTATTTCTGTAAGTCTTGGTAATTTAACTTTTTCACAGACATATTTTTCTATGCCATAAAAGCCTGATACAAACATAGAATTACAAACTTAATTGCAGAGGCTCTAAGGCAGATGTAAAGTATCCAGGGATATGTGCAAACTTGTAAACTTGCTAAAAATTTCAACGAATTAAAAATTATAAAACTGGAAGGGAGCCCTGGGTGGCACAGTCATTTAAGCGTCTGACTCTTGATTTCAGGTCGGGTCATTATCTCAAGGTTTATGAGTTCAAGCCCCACATTGGGCTCTGTACTGACGGTGTGAGCCTGCTTCAGCTTCTCTCTTTCCCCTCTCTGTCTTCCCTTCTTCCACTCTCTCTAAATAAATAAATAAATAAATGAACATTTAAGAAAAATATAAAAGGGGCATACGTACCAAAGACCCAGAAAAAATTTCTTGGCTTTCTATCAGTAGTTTGCAAGAGACTTATATACTGCATGTGGAAAGTGTTTTGGCTTGATCCAGTCCCCAGGGGAGCTTAGGAAGCAGTGTCTTATGCAACTTACATCTCTGCAGATCACTTGGGTGTTTGATTGCTTGACTTTTTTGAATGAAGTGGAACCAAAGCCACACAATGTGGGTGAGCTAAGATCACTTATCTCCTAGATAAGGAAGCTGAGTATCCACCCTCCTGGATCCCAGCACAGTGCTCTCCCCCTCCCCCCCACCCCACCTGTCCCAAAGCCCATTTGGGATTTGGATGTGTGCGCCCTGAGGAATCTCTTATGTTACTCATTCAGTTCCCTAGAACTCAATAATTAATGCAGGGCTTTGAAATGAAAATCATATTTTAAAAAGAGGGAAAAAATATTTTTTCTTTATTCTCACTAGTAAAGAAATCACAGTCTTTCCCTGACAAATTTAGTGCTTAAATAAGGAAAAGAGAATCATTTTTCTTTGAAGTAGAGGATTCTCCCTTTAAAGAAAACAGGATGTAATTGGAAGGCAGCTTCTGAAAGCTGTTATCATCTGGGGAGGCTTCATTGAATCTCATCTCAGTGCCCACTGGCAAAGATTTTTCAGTTTTCCTTGCCTGACAGCTCACCACTGAGTCACTGTCATTTGTATATATTACAGTAAGCATGACACTCTGTCTCCACAGGTTACGGCATCATGACCGACGGTTATACAACGTACATCAATGCCTCAACGTGTACAGTCAGCTTTCAACCGACCAACCCTCCAATTATATTTGACCTTCCAAACCCACAGGGTTCCTGAAGCTCTAAAAAGCCCGATTGGAATGTGAGGGAAGGTTTATAAACTGCCATTTTTCTAATTATAAACTTACATTCTCTTACTTGTTTATTTCCAAATCCTGTGAGTTCTTTTTGTAAATTACTGGAACACAAATGACTCTAGAGGTTGTGCTTTATTTTTTTTTAAATGGGGCGTCCATTCGAAATGAAAGGAGCATTGTGAATTTGTAAAATGACTTCCGTTTTCTCAAAGGCCACACCATTGTAAATTGTTAGTATTCGCCAAAGGACAGCCAAGCTTTCTTTTTAAAAGGTGATGAAAGTCTTATTTTAATATGCTTTAAGCTGGAAGAAAAAGAAAAAAAAAAGAAAAAAGAAACAGGTAGGTAGTGTTTTAAAAACCACCCAGATTTGCACAACTGTTTAAGAGTATTGTTTGAAGTATTTTATTTTTTGGTGTTTTGTTATTGTTGTTTTCTTGGTAATGCTTCTTTTTTGCAGACGTGGCCTGGAATTATAGCAATCTTTTCAGCAAAAGTAGGCGTGGAAAAGACTTCTCTTCACACTCTCACTATAAAGAAAGCTGCGCCAGGGGAAGAAAACAGCCCTCATTTAAAGGATGGCTTAGCTAGTGAGGTCCATATTGTGGTTCTACGAGGTCTCATTGTTTGTTTGTTTTCTTTTAAATTATTTTAGCTTTAAAAATATGGAAATGGAATCTGTCAAAAGCAGGTATTTCATTCAGTGAAAAAAATTGAGCGCGCAGACTCCTTTTCAGTATGGGTTTATATATATAAATATTTTTTGTGTATTATGACTAAGTTAGGAGTTTAATATTGCCAAGGACAGTGCAACTGCAGAAGGATGCTTTGTAGCAGGGCATCACAAGTCCGAAGGGGCTGCTGACACATTTTCTCAGAACTCAAGGTCTCAAAGAACTTGAGTTAAATCTAGGTACAGTTACAGACGTGTACAGACTTATACATGGATGCAATGGAAGGTAACTAAAATAAGGCTTAGGTGTCCTTTATATTTAAATACCCTGAATTGTCTTCTTACTTACTCTCCCTCCCCCCCATTTTGCACTGTGTGTCGATGCAATCTTCGCTAGCACAAAATATTGTCGCTAATAGTCATTTCTGTTTTCCCATTGTAAATGCTGTTAAGCTTTATTCTATTTTATGTTACCTTGTTAATGAAATTTAGGAAAGCAGTTGTTTCTTTTAAATTTATTGTGATATTCTATATCTAGCGGCCTTTATATGCAAATAAAATTGCAAGATTTTTAAATCTGTCCTGTTTGGAGGGTTGGCTGGTAGGAGGATGGTGGTTTAGTCCCTGGGAGGAAGAAATGGGGGGGGGATTTATTCATATTCAACATTAGTACTCCCTGACAGAAGAACTAGAATGCGTGCTTTTTTTTCCTGATTTTTATTAAGTTTTTTATTGCCCACCTTTGCCAGGCTGGCAGGTAGATGGATAAGGCACTCTGTCTACCCTTTCCTTCCATCGCACTGTTTGCCATAGGTCTCAGAGGGTGAATACCTCGTCTTGGCCATTGTAATTTCTATAGGAAGGGTGACGGTGCAGTGGAGGCTGGAGATACTCTTGTGGATGCGTAGTAGTGAGAAGGTGAACCAGTGGGTTCTAATAGAGTGGCCACTACACAGTCTCATTTGTCCCCAGGAGCAGTTACCATCACCTCCTCAGTGTTTTTTTGTTTTGTTTGTTTGTTTGTTTATTGCCATCCATCACTAAAATGATATGACAGCCAGGAGGCCCCAGGCAGTGGTGGGTTGTGGAAAATGAAGTTATGTCTATTTTATTTTCTCTGGAACAGCCATTGAAGAAAAGGAGCATGATTTTGAATCTGCAGTATATCCCAAAAGTCTACGTTCCAGTGCCCATTGGATTGTATTCTGACACATCTCCCTTCCCTCCTCCCACTGTGGACTCTTTGGCGTAATTGCTGAAAAGAATTTTTGATTTCAGTAGTAACAGGGCAGAGAGAACGTGTTAGGCCAGAATCCCAGCTCAGACGCACACGTAGTCATCTTGCGCTATCATAGTTGTTAATATTTATTAAGTGTCTTGGATGCCACCCAGAGCCTGTGGTGGACACTTTGGTCCGAGCTCACAGAGCAGATGCTGGGCCTTCCTGAGCAGAGGTGGTCCGTGACCAGAGTAGCCATGATGGGCCAAACGAGGCCAAAGGAGGTTAACTGTGAGGGGTTAACAGCCCTCCTCTGATCTGCTACATCAATAGAAGAAGGTGTTGACTTCAGGGCGCTTCCTAGGGAGCTGGAGTGAGAGGTGACTGAATGGAAATTTCATCTGGTTACTGAACAAGGAGCTAAGCTCAGACTTCTGGAAAAGCAGACTTTCCAGAGACAGGTGGATGATCATGATGACAAGTGTGCATGCACAGCCCTTGACAGCACGTCTGGGCCCAAACTAATTAAGCTAAGCACTTACTAAAATTGCTTTCCATTGTGAGTGGGCAGGAAGCAGCCCAGCCGGCTAAATCTACAGGGTAGACTGGCTCATGGTCCGGGTTCACCACTCTGTATGTATGAACTGCCTCCAGGAGGGCCGGGATGACCATCCAAAGGCCTGAAGCTTTCTCCACTGGGCCTTCTAACAAAGGAGCATTTGAAATAGCTCTTACAAATTGGCACTTTCCACTCTTTCATCACCAGGCATTCTGCTGAGCGGGTCTCATATGTTGTTTCTAATCCTCACAAAACCCTGGGAGAGGTCACATAAGCCCCACTTTATAGATAGGAAACCAAGGCTCCAAAAGTTAAATAAATTTCCCTAGGAAAATGGAAGGTTCAAGACCAGGTCTGCTGAATTCATAGCCCCTGCCCTTTTTATCACCCTGCCTCTGGACTAGAAAATGTGATGCCCTTCAGCAGCTGAAAGAAAACTGATATGGGCCTATATACGTGATTTCTTACCATGTATATAAGAATTGTTGGAGCATCCTTCAGTGTGGCCTTATAACATCAAATTGGACCATTTCCTCTCTGCTTGAGGCACACAGCACGGTGTAGTGGATAGGAATACAGAGCCTAGAGCCAGTGTGCCTTTCTAAGCTCTGACCCCTCCACCAGCTGTCTCTGATGCCTTTGCTGGGTACTTAGCATCACTGTTAAGTGGGGCTGATGATGAAGTTGCTATAAGTTGTAATACAGAAATCACTGCCTGACATCCAGTTTGTTATATAAAGTCCCCTGTGCTGGCTTGAAATTCTCCAGATAAGATCTGTCTGTTGCCTCCTCACCCTTAAGAGCCCCAAAAGAATTATTTCCAAGAGAGTGTATTTGTTTGCATCCCTTGGAAACTATAATGAACCTCTCTTCATAAGACTAAGAGGAACCCCAAGGGCATTTGTGAGAGGCAGATAAGGGGGCCTGACTTTTCAGTTAGGGGATCATATTTTGAAAATCCCTTCTAATCTCAGGAGAGGGAGGGTCTGTATTCTTCAGAGCTGCTTCAAATGCCACCCGTGGATCTTAGCATCTTTCTCCTCATGGAGTCTTTACATTCCATGTCACCATCTCCTTCAAGCTCAATTACTGAATTTTCTCTCTACATCTTCTCCCAATTCCCTTTTGTCTTATAAAGATGATGGGGGGTTGCTGAAATCCCCTTAAGAGGCAGGTCACTGTTGTTCTGACAGGTGGCCAGCGTTAAGCCTGCCTTCATCTCCATCACTTAAGTAAATAAATACTATGACCCAGGTCTTAAGTAGGGAGAAACAGAAGCTGGGAGGATTTGAGATTTGTCAATTGCAGATAAAACACTTGCTGTGCCCAGAATAATGTCCCCTCCCCCAACCCTTACCCAGCAAGGATATGCTGCTCCAGCAGAGCGGACATCCATCTTTTACTTCGGTTTCCCAGTATCTTTTCGTGCCCTGTTCCCACTTTCCTGCAAGTTTTAAGTACATTTTGTTAATTATTAAACCAACGTAAATTAAGGTCTACTTTGTTTTGAGAGTTTGGCTATAAGCTGAGGCATTTGGAAATGCAGCCGGGCATGGAGTGGGAGGCAGCTTGGTGTAGGGAGGGTTCCAGGACTGGACATTCTTAATGGGTGGTTCTAGAGAAAGTTTTAGAGAAGGTATCCGACCCACTTCTGGATGTCAGCTTCTTAATGCAAATTTTTTTCTTTTACTTTGTGATGAAGTAGCAAGGTTGCTGCATGTGCCCAGTCTGACAAGGCTTTTCTGGAAGTTTAGAGCTGTTTTCCCTTCCTTTTCAAGGTGTCACCTCTTTCATTATGCCTTTCCATGGAAGAGAAAACCACACTGATTCAAAAGCCTTTCTGACAAGTCTTTCTCTTCCCTGGTGCCCATTGTAAAATCAGCCTCTGCAACTCACAAGAAGTTCAGAGAGGGTCAGTAGCACCACCATGGTCACACAGCAAATCAAGAGAGATAGCCCCACATTGGCATTTGGGCTCTTAACTTTGAGCATGAACTGCTTTTTCAGTTTAATATTTAGGAATAATCAAGTATGGAGAGATTTGTTTGGCCAGGCATAATGTGATTTTGTAAGAGAAAAACTTGCCATCTATGGCTTATTATTATTAAACCAGATTATTTGAAGGAAAAAAAAAAAACAAAACAAAACCTTAGAATCTGCCCTGCAGATGTTCCCAAGAAGATTCACTTTCTTACCCTTCAACTAATCCACATATAACAATTCCGATGGACCCCCAATTCCTTCTCCCACAGAGAGATGTTACTCTTTGTCGTGTGTTTTGACATACATGTATATGTCCAGTCCGGAAGACATTGGGTATCAGTAAGAGCCCCTGACTTTGGAAACAGATGCGCTTGCTTTCAAATCCCACTGATGCCATCTACCATCTGGGGAGCCTTGGACATGCTACTTTACTTCCCTCAGACTCAGACTCCACACCTATATAATGAGGATAATTCCTACCTCATGATGGATTTGTCGGAGTTGATATGATAATATCACACTAGCTTCCTGGGCCCAGGAAGCTATTATAATACATGGAAGATTTTTCTTATGCTGTCTTTCATAGTTTCTTAAAACAAAAGAAAAAAGGGGGAGGAAGGGGAAAAGGAAACGTTTAGCTTCTTATTCCAGGTTATTCAGAGCCCTTCACAAGAGAACGTGAATTCCCTCAACTGAACTGAGTCAAGGTTGTAGAGCTACAAACCCAAGCCATACATAAATCGAGCTCTTTAAATTCCTCCCTCTCTCTCTTTAAACTATAAGACAAAACATTTGTGGTAGGTGCTTCTTGACTCCTCTTCGTTTCCTTCCTGAATTAGGGATGTCTTAACAAGACAAAAAATCTTGAGGTAAAAGGCCTTTCATATCTGAGAGCATCTATATCTGGGTGATGGTGAGAGAGAGAAATGCATTTCCATTAGGAAGCATGGCCACAGTGGTACTAAAAGCACGAATAGACTAAACACGTGAAGGCAGAGAGCCTGCAGCCATCAATCAGCTTTGATTTTTATGAAGCCACGGTTACCATGCGGTGCATCCGAGTGCTCTCAGAACCCGCTTACCAGGGGAAGGGGCCTGTAATTTCATAGCCCATTTCTGTCCTGACCTTAGTGGCTGACCTTGAGAATAGGTTGAGCTTTTCAGTAGAAGCTTCTGAAATAGCAAATGACTTGGAACCCAAATACTCCATGCTTGGAGTCACCAACATGCCCTTGCACACACGGACTATGATGCTTAGGTGCCAGCTACTTAATTCTTTAAAAGGACTCATAGTTCCTGGAAGCCTTCCCTGGATCCCCCTACTCATACCCAGAACACTCCGTGTTGGCAGTGCCATAGCTCCCACAAGCATTTCCACCTACACCATGTTCTGATTGTTCCTTGTCTGCCTGTGAGCTACAGGAGGTCAATGACCAGGTTTTCTGTTACTGCATTCCCAGCATCTAGATCTGAAAAAATGCTTTCTTCATGAATTAATCCATGTTTGGCAGACAATAGCCAGGTATGTGAGAAAGGTAGGAGAAATTAATCACAGATGAAATCAGCAGACATCCGAACACTGTAGGGCCAGTGGTGTACCAGTAAGCTTCATCTGCAAGACTCTGTTCTTGTCACGAAAGGTCCTTGTAATTTGGTGAAGAAAACAAGATATTGTCACATGAAGCTAAATAGCAGTTAAGATTTAAATAATGGTTTCAAACAGCAATGAAAGGAAATCAGGATCTGTGATGGTCAGGTTTGTCCAGTTGTGTGAGTAGCCATTGTTATGGGAAAGTGCAGGCTGGGGATTTAAGTCTCA